GTCCCTGTGGGGCCAGTCTGGGGGGGGGGGGGGGGGGCCTGCCATTACCATCTCAGGCATTCACAATCTCTCCTCCTCAGAGTGGTTTCATGGGGTGCCTCCTCCCTCAGCTCACACACCTGTACACTCCTAGAGCCCTTCTGTGCGGGTTTCAGGCACCCAGACTTCCACACAGTCAGCCCCTCCCCCCAGCCCAGACACCTTTGCCCTCTCCCCTGCAGACCCCAGCCACTGGGTGCCCCCCAGCCCAGATGGGTGCCCCCCAGCCTCATCCCCTGCACCTCAGAACCCAGCTGCATGGCACCCCTAGCCCAGATACCTGCACACTTACAGGACGTGCTGCAGAATCCCCCCAGGAGTGAAGGCCCATATCAGCAGACCTAATCATACAATTATTCCTGGAAGGAATCGCTGTTAGAACTACCAATTCTAAATAAGCACTTTTACCACCACTTTCACAGCACTGGTGCCTGCCTGGTTATCTGCAGCACTGTGCACAGAGACACAGATTCACCACACGGTCCTTCAAATCTGCTTTGGGGCTTACTGTGCACAAAATACCTGCATTCTCCCCTTCAGAAGGCAGCTGCCAGAAAGCCAACCCAGCCCCAACTTGACCAGAATCAAATAAGTCCAGAACATCTGATGGATTCATGGAGTCAGTCCATCCACTTTATAGCCTCAGCCTGCAAAGCGCTCAATGGAGGCCCTAGAAGAACTTGGAGCTCCCAGAAGAACAGGGAAGTTGCTCTTCCCCTGGACAACCTATTCAATGAGGTGTTAAGAGTGGAACACAATTATGACTGTCCAATCCATTGACATTTAAATTACTTCACTATTGATAATCTTTATAGAAACATTCTGCTAAAATACTGTACTCACTAGGTAGCTGTGTGGTACAGTGCTGTGAAAGGATGTATTTTGAAACAGAGCAGCAGGAACTATTTGTAATGCACAATTTATTCAGTTAATTTCACTGTGAGTTGTTGGCAATCAAACCGAGTTTTTGCAAATTTGTTATTCATGGAATGTTTCTTGAGAACAAATTTCAGCCTACTGATGATAGCAAGGAGAGTTTGCCCCATATATTCCCGATTCATTATCAACTAAAAGAATAATCTTTATTAAACACATACATACTATGATGGTATCCTGCAAAGAGAACTTCCTGCAAGGTGCTCAATATTCCCAACCTCCACTGAATTCACCAGGAACCGAGAACATCGGCAGCAGCTGAGGTACGCATCACCTTCATATCAAATCAACTTAAAAACTTTCAAATCTACAACATTCCTCTGAATAACCACTTATTTTCATGCTATACTTTTTACATTCTTATCTACCAAAGCTCTGGCTTGGGTTGCAGTGTTTTGCTGCTGCTGCCTGCCAAAGTCCTCTGCAAGTATGGCTTGCATTTGGTAAGCCAGACACCTGCTTCCCAGAAACATAATACTAAATGCAGACAGAGTGAGTGTCCTCATGGCAAACGAAATGCTGAATCTTTCAGCAGTCTCTGTTCCTTGTAAAGAAACCTTTTCCCTTTCCCATGTGCTTGTAGAGAATCATTTGTCAGTGCACAGAGTATTAAGCAGTGTTGGCTATTCATTGTCCTGCACCATGATCAGAAAATGTGCTGCTGATCTGATTGCTGCCCAACAGCCTCAAGTATTAAGCAGTGTACTGCCATCAAGTATGTCACTAATCAAGGGATGCTCAGTACTCTGGATATTGTGAAATTCTGTCACCTCCTCGGGGAAAGACAATTGGCAGAAATAATGGCAACTCTGAAGCACTAGGGGAAAAGCAGCTACGTCTTTCTTCATAAAAACTGGTTTCTTGTTCCCCTGCTTAGCTACAGCAGAGTGTTTCCAGTTCCCATTGGAACCTACAAGCATGAGACTGCAAAGGACTACAGCAAATTGGAGAATCAGGCCCCTGAAGAGCAAGAAATAGCCGGATGGCTGAATATAGATTTCATAGAATCATAGAATACTAGGACTGGAAGGGACCTCGAGAGGTCATTGAGTCCAGTCCCCTGCCCCATGGCAGGACCAAATGCTGTCTAGACCATCCCTGATAGACATTTATCTATAGCTATTTAGACTTGTGGAAATAATTTGCCACTCATCAGTGGGGCCACACCAAACACATGAAGCTCTGACTGGTAGGGCTTCGTTCCACTCTACTAGGTGGACCACTAGAGTGTGCTGCTGCCCCTAAGCTAAATGACTCGGTCTACTAGCTCATCCCTCTCAATGTCCAAAGTCACTACCATTTGCCATTGGGCTCCTGTTTAATGAAAAGTTAGCTTTAGCTATTTGCTGGTGACTTCTTTCTGTCCAGTCCAGCTATAGTACTGGAAGGACTGATTAAGGCGAGGATGAGAGGGGCCAATGGCTGGGCTGAGCATTTGGAAATTGAGAAATGTAATGTCTGTGTCTGAATTACCCAAAGCACAGACTAGAATTAAGCCCACATCAAACTCCAAAGTATTTTAGATTCATTTCCATACATGACAATGCAATAAAGGTAAAAAAAGGTTTCAGAATTCTACCATAAATATTAAAAAAAATATCACTTTCATAAAGAATTCTGAAATTTGTTTTATTCATCATACAATGTAATAACAAACTTTCCATTTTCCACTTCTTTTAACTATCGCTATTTGTTTTCAAGATATAAAGATGAATTGGAAAAGCCTTGGCTTTAATTAAATCCCCAAAAGGACTAGTAATCTTTGTGCATATTAAATTTTTAAGGCACTTACAAATGTTCAACTGATCAGCTCATTATACTACCACAACATGCCTCCTAAACCTAATTGAAATGAGAAATAGAGGGAACTGCCTACTGAAACATCTTCACTATGTATTTGTTTAAAAGATACAGTATGTCTATCTTTAAAAAATAACTCTAATAAGTGATCATGATCCTAATTCAAGAGCAGGAAAAAAAATCAATAATACAAGTTTCAACTCAGGAAGGCATATTAAATGTCAGTTCAAAGCAATTATACATAGTCTGTAACAAAAAGTAACAGAGATATCTTTACAAAAAAATCCAGCAATAACTCAGGGTGAAATTGTGACTTTACCAAAAGCCCTGGGTATGGGGCAGGGTACAACTGCACTGACCCAAGAACAGATTAGGAAGCAGATTGTGACTCAGACTTGCAGTCTGCCTTCTGGCTTTCCCTCTTCTTTGTGGGGGACACATCCTGAAGCCCAACCCCTGCCTGAACTGGCTCATTCATTGGGGGTGAATGTCATTTCCTCTGCCTGTAAAGCAGGTATCTGGTGTAAGTGGTCACCATATATCTCCTCTTATTCTTATGCAGCTGTGCAGTATGACTCATGAACTGATCTTGATGATTGTAATCTGGTTCCAAGGTGAATCTTTCTTTTTTCGTTTCCTAAGAATTTCCCAGTTTAAATATATGTAGCTCCAAGTATACATTATAGAAACTCTCACAGTTCTGTTCTCTCTAGGGTTTTTCCCTTGTGCATTGAACTATTTTTTACTAGCAGATTTACCCAGCATTGCGTGGATCCTTAATTCAATTGAGGAACACGCTTTTTTTTGAAAATATACATGTTTTATTTAAACAATTATATTTATAAAATAGAGTGTTTTTATTAAATGAGTTTTTATTTTAGAATTCTTTAAAAAGGGATTGTTACATTTTGAGGGGTTTTTTTTTAGTATTTTTTTTAAAATGGGAATGCCATCAAGTGTATTTTTTTATTCATCCCTATAAACTCTTATCATTTGCTATGGTTTTAACAAAAAGGACCATAATCAATTTGGTTTCCAATAACATTTCCTTCTCCTTTTCAAATCATAAGCTTTGATTTAGCTCTGCCTAAACAGAGTGCTACTCCAAAATTTCTTACTCCATTTTATCTCTTTTCTGGAAGGTTTATTAAGAAGCAATCCTATTCCAGTTTCATCCTATTTTTCTGTCTTATCTTGGCTCAGTCTCTTTCAACATTTGCTCAGTTATGTCAGTTTTGAGCACTGTATTTGATTTGGTGAGTCTGTCTCTTTTCTGCTTGATTTCAATCCCATTCCAGGCACATCCTGTTTTCCTGGCTCAACCAAACCCTTACACTGCTTTAAGTTATGATAAGAGGAAGCTGTATAACAAATTTGATGGTCCTAACTCTTTCTGTTTTGGAGGAGTTTTTGATCAAACAGACAAACTCTCTAAAATCTATAGCAGATTATATGGACTCTCATTTCTACCATTTCTCCTGGCTACAATTTCTTGCTCTTTTTCTAGATTCTCCAAAATTGCAAGTAACACCACCACAATCATTTGTGAAGCACTAAACCAGTGATAACATTGACTATCCAATATATTAAAGTACAGCTTTTGAAAATACATAAAGGTATGATCCCTGCTCACTTTTCCCTTTGAGTTAAATGAACTAGTAAGGCTAGCTGGAGTCAGACCCTGCTTCAACAAAATATATAATGCATACGCTTACCTTTAATTATGTTCTACAGTCTCACTGACTACAACGCAAGATCAGACCCTTAGCTAGTATATTATTTCGGATTGATACAGATAGTCTACAATACTACATAGCTCATTTAGTACTTACCTATGACGTATTCCACCCAGAACTGGTCTTTTTCAGGATTGTAAGGACGGTTGAAGTCAATCTGGATATGGAAAGGCTGTCCTCGCCGTACAATCAACTTTGGGTTGTAGAACTTGTCAGTATGATGCGCCTGCTTGTTGACTTCCTGGGTATCTTTGAACATGTGAACTTCCTTAACTTCAAAATTATCTATGTAGACAAACAAAAGGGGAAAAATAATCAATGTCTTTGTTTCATACGGGCACCATGCCATTTACCTTCTCTGATTCCATTTACTCAGAGTAATACCTTACTGGTTAATAGCCCCACTGCATCAGAGAAAAAAGATTATGATCTGGTTAGGTTTTATATCTGATTGGCACAAATGTAAATGTCTTTGTATGTTTCAGGAGAGGAGAGAATCATAGTTGACTATTACCCTGGAGAATTGGATTCTGTCCCTGCCTCTCACTCAGCAGTACTGTATGATGCTAGATAAGTCACTAAAACCAAACTTTTCACAGGTGGCTACTACCTGTGTCTTCCCCATTTTCTGGATGTCCAACATGAAACACCTGAGAACAGATTTTCAGAAATGTTGAGCATTCACAACTGAATTGAAGTCAATTGGAGTGGGGCACTGAACACAAAGGCTACGTCTACACTGGCCACAATTTCCGGAAAAGCCATGCAAATCAGGTAAGTCAGGATAGGGAAATCCGCGGGGGATTTAAATATCCCCCGCGGATTTAAATAAACATGTCCGCCGCTTTTTTTCCGGCTTGGGGAAAAGCTGGAAAAAAAGCGTCTAGACTGGCGCGATCCTCCGGAATAAAGCCCTTTTCCAGAGGATCTCTTATTCCTACTTCGAAGTAGGAAGGGAGGAAATCATTTCCTCTGCTTAATTTTGGTCCAACAAGTTCCAAAATAGCCTCTGATTTTGGGTGCCAAACTTTGGTCCAGCTGAAGGCCTGGGTGTTGGGCATGTACTCAGCACTTCTGAAAAGCAGGCCAAAGGTGGACCCTAATTAAGGATCCTAAAGACTGATGTATCCAGAAACAGAGGCCACAGCTGAAAATCTTGGCCTAGCTTCTTTTGACCCACATGCTTGGTTCCTGAGGGGGGGAAAATGAGTATAAAACAAAGCAACTTTAATTAAATTTTCTACTCAAGTTATTATATCACACCTATCACCCATAATACCTGAGCTCCTTGCAGGAAACTTCTATGCTATTATCCCAAATTGGCTCATAGCAGAAGTTTTCTCCTAAAATGAGCCTTGGGCTAGAACAGCTGCAGCACTCACGTATACAGGTGTACCTATCCCAGAACACTGGTGAGCCCAGTAATTATAAGAATTCATATGAGTGGTGACCCTTTTGTCACAATACATTGTCCCATGCCTAGATGAAATCCCAACTGCTGAAGTTAAGGTCTCATAAATGATGCAGATACATAATGCATACTCATTGCAATCCTATTGTCTCTGAATTAAAATTTTATTCAGCAACACAGAGAACTGTGGTTACCCAGTGCAGGGTGGGGGGCAGGAATTATTGCCTCAGATGCTATCCAGTTGGCCTATTATGGGAACACTTTTCTAAGGCAGATCTCTGAGTGCCGCAGAGTGATATATTCTGAGAACAGTCAGCAGGTTAATCCTACTGTTATAGGCTATGTCTAGACTGCAAGCCTCTTTCGAAAGAGGCTTTTTCGAAAGATACTTTATGTCTATGCTGCAGGCTTCTTTCGAAAGAGGCTCTTTCGAAAGATACTTTCGAAAAAGCCTCTTTCGAAAGAGAGTGTCTAGACTGCACACGGAACTTTCGAAAAAGCAAGCCGCTTTTTCGAAAGAAAGCAGCAAGTGAGTCTGGAAGCTCTCTTTCTAAAAAGCCCTGTTTGCTTTCAAGAACGCCTTTTTTCGAAAGAGCACTTTCGAAAAAAGGCGTTCTTCCTCGTGGAATTAGGTTTACCGCCGTCGAAAGAAAAGCCGCATTCTTTCAATTTAGTTTCGAAAGAACGCAGCTGCAGTCTAGACGCAGGTGAAGATTTTTCGAAAAAAGGCTACTTTTTTCGAAAAAAACCCTGAGTCTGGACACAGCCTATAGTGAAACTCTCACAAGCAGTTTCCCCATTTTCATTTTCACCATGTATCCTCCATGGGGCACTTCTATTCAGTTATGCTGTGATCTGAACTTGCATCATTCTGTCACCAGTTGTCTGTCAACTTTTCAAGAGCTCTTTCTGTTCTGTCTGAAGTACAACTGTGAGAGGGAGCTTACTAGGACTCCATGACACAAGTATCATATCAACACCTATTTCCCCCATAAAGCTAGTATTTTTTCTGTCCAATTTGCCTTCCATGGCTTGCTTGTGTTCAACATTCCCGCTGGCAGAATCCTCTGCATTTTCCTGAGAAGGCGGATGCCCTAAGTATATGCACTCAGCATTTTCCTTTCTTATGGCTAGTGCCCTGCAATATAGACAATGAAAAAAGGTAGTGGGTGCTTAGCATCCACCAGCTACCAGCTCCCCCTTCCCATCCCTACCTCCTGCCCTTCACAATTATCTGTTCCTCAGCATGCAGAAGGTGCTGGGAGGGTGAGGGAGGAGTGGGGATGGGGTACACTCAGGTGAAAGGGCAGAAAAAGATGGGGCAGGAGGTTCAGGAAAGAGATCAGGTGGAGATGGATGGGGTTTTGGAGCACCCCACGTGCCTTGAAGAAGATGGCATCTGTGCCCTGAAAGATCTTTGCAAACACTTGGGCAGATTCAGTCCTGTGCCTACACTGACTGCTCCAGGCATTGGTCTTGGCACAGAACTCCAGCAGCAGAAAGTGTGACAGGAAGGGCAAATTTCAGCTGTGGAAAGTGGTAGCAGCCTAGAAGGGAAGCGGAGACGGCCAGCTCAGCAAGTGAAATGTGCTTGTCAGGGCAGAGTGTAGCTAGGGCAGCTAGAGGAAGTGCTGATAAGCTTATCCTTGCTGTAGCTTCCTCTGTTTTGGAGCCTCCAATAGAATTTAACCACACCCACCACTTCTGAAATCCTTTTGGGTTCCCCCTTTCATGTCCTAGCCTCCCTCAAGGCTATCTCTCAGGCATTTTTTTAATATACGGTGTTAAAATAAGCTAGAGTATGGCCTGCGTAGCCATTTATTGGTAGAACAGAGTGACATTTTGATTTCCCAGATAGATGACAAGGAATCAACTGTCATTATTAGATCATCTCCTGACCTAGAGAGAAAAATTGGGGCATTACTTGGTGCTGTTTTGCGACTTGGGATAAACAGACAATAATTCAATAGTTCCCTCCTGCTTTTTGCCAGACTAGTCTGAAAGCCCTGTCAATTGATGGAGCTCAAGGTCAAAGTTCCCCTAGTATCCTCTCAACCTTCAGAGGGTCCCTTACCCTGTGTTGGCTGTCTGGTGGCTCCCAGCATGGGCGCAGTAGTGTCTGGCCCCAATCCAGCCTCCAAGCTGACATTGTTGCCTAGTCAACAATGCTTCCGTAAAGTACCAGGCTAAGGGCCTGGAGACGAGTGTTCTGTTTCTGAGTGCCACTAATTCTCTTCTGTGCCTGAGTTTCCTCTTCTGAGAAATGGGGCTAACAGCACCCTCCTTCATTGAGTGGTTTGAGATGCTTGGATGAAAGGCACCGTCTAAAATGTGCACCACATTTGCACCATCTGGGTATCTGACCCAGAATTATCTTAAGCTTTCTGTGGGTGCTTTTGAATATGGAATACCAGAACTGAACCTTAGTTAGAAAATAGGTTAATGTTAATGTAGTAACACACATAGTATCTTTGCCCTAATGTTTCCTTATCATTCCATGAAATAATTGGCAAGATGAATTCCCTTCCTTGAATGCTCTATTTTAAACTACAGAAACAAAGTTTTGAGAATGATAATTAAAGAAATATTCTCATCTGACATTTCCTGATGAGATCAGCAATGTCATAGAGACTCAGCCTGTTTGAGAAATACCAGAGATACTTGTGGTTACAGTTAGATAAATGACTATGCAAAAATTGCACCATCTCACTCCTCTGAATACTGAGGGAGAACTTGTAAGTTATATTGACTAATTTTATGATAAAACCTTCACCCCTTACGCACACTCCTGCAAGCATGAATGCATCCATGAAAGAATGAGCTGAATTCTATTCCACTTGATACATATAGCCTATTGGTTGGTTTGGAGTTATTTAGCCTTGACAAATCAATGCTGGCTATTCCTTATGATCCTATTATCTTCCAGATGTTTAAAAAATGTATAATAATTTTTTCCGGTATCTTTCCAAATATCAGAGTTCAGCTGTCTGGTCTATACTTTCCCAAGTTGTCTTTGTTCCCCTTTTTAAAGAAAGATATTACATTTCACCAGTCCTCCAAGAGTTCTCAAATATAATGGTTCCAAGATTGCTTCAACTATCTCCTTAAGTATCATGGATTGAATTTCACCAGGTCCTATGGACTTGAATACATCTAACCTATAGAAGTACATTTAAACTTCTTTCCATATTTAGCTGTCATTCCATTCCCATTGTCATTAATATTAATCGTGCTACATATCCGGTCACAAATGACCTTTTTGGTGAAGACTGCAGAAAACATAGGTGTTAAACACCTCAGCTTTCTTGGTGTTGTCTGTTATGAGTGCTTGTTCCCCCACTAAGAAGAGGGACTGTCCTTTAATTTGTATTTCTCTTGCTCCTACTTTACTTATAGAACCTCTTCTTATTGTAATGTATTTCCCTTGCTAGATGTAATTAATGTTTTGCCTTCGCTTTTCTGATTTTGTTCCTACATACTTGTACTATTTTTTTATACACATAAGAGTTGCAAGAGTATGTCCCCTTATCATGAGTTATGTGCTGCCTTGTGGAAAATGGATCTAGAATAAGCCAGAGAGGGAAATGTCTGTTAGAAATATTCTGAGCATTTTTACTACTGTAATCCTTATAGAATAATCCAGGTGGATTTAAAAAGGGATGAAACTTTTGTAGCAGTTTTTCAAGAAGCCTGCAGAATTAAACAGAGACTAGTAATCTTCCTGTAAAGTTTTTTAAACTGCTGATCGATCCAATAGGAAGTTGTATCCTTTCTGTGGCTGGGATTGTGACAAACTCTGAGGTTTAAAATTGCATGTAAAGAAAGTTTATCATAACCCCATCCATAGAAAGGATACAAATTCCTGATTAGAATGAACAGCAGGTTTATAAATGCTATAAAGGAAGGTTACTATTCTCTATTTAATTCTACAGGACTTTTCCATTCAGGGATCTGAGCTCCTTTGCTCTAGATCATTTTCTTACAGGCTGTGTCCAGACTCAGGGTTTTTTTCGAAAAAAGTAGCCTTTTTTCGAAAAAACCTCACCTGCGTCTAGACTGCAGCCGCGTTCTTTCGAAATTAAATCGAAAGAACGCGGCTTTTCTTTCGATGGCGGTAAACCTCATTTCACGAGGAAGAACGCCTTCTTTCGAAAGTTCCTCTTTCGAAAGAAGGCGTTCTTCAATGTAAATAGGGCTTCTTCGAAAGAGAGCATCCAGACTCACTGGATGCTTTCTTTCGAAAAAGCAAGCCGCTTTTTCGAAAGTTCAACGTGCAGTCTAGACGCTCTCTTTCGAAAGTATCTTTCGAAAGAGGCTTGCAGTCTAGACATAGCCACAGAGGCAAATAGCCAATGAAGAACTAATAGAGCCTTAGAGGAATACGTCAATATTTTATCGGTGCCAAAGAACATTTTCCTTGTGCCTGGGACATCTGCTCACCTCACTTCTTCAGATTTACCAACACCACATTTATAACAAGGCTGACAAGATCATCATTAACTTAAGTCAGGAGATCTCATGAGTTTCCCAGTGGAATGTTACGCAAGTTGCTCTTTCATGGCACTGCCTCAACTCCCTCCCAATGCAGGAACACACCACATAAAAGTGGTAGTGCCCTCTATTGCCATAAATCACATGTGGGATTTTTGTGGATCTGGGGGAAGTGGGGAATGTGAGGATGCATTTTTGGCTTGGTCTACACTTGTAAGTTTAAAGTGCAGCTGGGGTAGCATTGCTGTGGCAGTGTGGCTACGGCACCAGCGCTAGGAGAGAGCTTGCTCAGTGCTATAAGTAAACCACCCCCTAGAGAGGAGTAGCTATCAGTGCTGGAAACCTGTTTTCACTGGTGCTTTACAGACTTGTAACTTGCTGCGTTAAGGGGGATGCTTTTTCACGCCCCCCCCCCCCCCGAGTGAGGAAGTTACAGCACAGTAAAGTGGCCGTGTAGACAAGTCCTTTGTCTCAATATTTTTGATCCCTCTGACAAAATTTGGGACAATTCAGTGGGGAGTTTTACTCCTGCTTTCAGAAATAAGAGGCCAGGTCACCCCTTCTGTTATTTTTAGATCAAGCATCTTTAAGAAACTAAAAAGGAAATTCATCCTATAACTTCAGTGTCGGTTTGCTTCTTCTCAGGGTCTTTATGAAGCTTATGTCAAAGTGCAGCCCTACTATGCTTGCAGAAACTTTTTGCTCTCCAGTTTCGACATGGAAAGTGTTTAAAATGAACTGATCTACACTGACCATAGGCAGCTGACCTGTGCCTTTGCAACAAAAGTTGTTGTGTTAGTTGCAATGGCCAAAATATCTGAAAGGCTCCTGGATACTGAATGCTTTAGACATCAGCGTTTATAGAAAATAAAAATAGGAAAGGAATTCAATAAAAAGCACTGGGATGTTTAGAGCTTTCAACAGACCCTCTTGAACAGCTGAACCTTTTTGTTCAAAACAGATAGCAAGCAGCGGAGGGACAGCTTTGAAGTGAAATCTTCTTGATTGGCAGACATCAGCACTGGAGCAGACATTCAGGCAAGCTGGCTTTATGAGCAAGAAGGAGCAGTTTGATGACTTGTAAAACATTTATAAAGGAAGAATTTTAAACTTCCATGGCAACACATTAGCACAAGTAAAATTTCTTTGTCAACACAAAAAATAGCCTTCAAAACTTCGTGATTTCCTCAAGAACAAGATAGAAATGGCTTTGGACTAGAAGAATTGTGGGATCTAAGCTGGAATCATTTGGCAAACAGAGCAAAGGAAGGATGGCTCAGTGGTCAAGTCACTGACCTGAGAACTACAAATTCAATCCCCTCTTCTGCCCCAGACTTCTTGGGGATAAACAGCACTTCCTACAACATCATAGAGGTAAGTTGTGAAGATAAACACATTTGGAGATTGTGCATTGTAAGAGGCGCATGTAAGCAACTTAAACTGTACACTCATCAATGCAGGGCTCAGATCCCTGGCATGTCCTCTCCTGCTGGCAAATTTTTACCTTGTGCATGTCTGCACAACACACCTGCTCTGTGCAGCAAGTGCCAACTCCTATATCCAGAGGCCAGCTCATTCCTTCTGGTACTTCTGAAAACGGGGTGAGAACAGCAGCAATCCCATCCCCAGTCAGATCCTTCTCAAAGGATACTCAAAGTGTATTTTCCTGGCTTGCCAACTGCATTTTCCTCAGCAGTGTTATTCCTGCAGAACTAAGAGATAATGTAGAGCAAACAAGTCCCCTCAGAAAGTTTCTAGGAAAATTCTCCCCTTCCGCACATTACGATACAGAAGAACCTCTACGTTTATCTGATTAGAGAGTTCTAAGTCGTCAACTTCCTTATTTGTTAATAATCTCTCTGCTTGCCAGAGAGGCAGGAAGAGGATGTTTCAGACTTCTCACCACATTTTACTTGCCCTGAAAGTTTTAATTTTGTAGGCAGAAAAAAAAAAAGCATAAAAATCTCCCCTAAAGCTCGTCAAAAGTATTTGGGAGTCTTTCTACTAACTTCAACTGGCTTTGGTTCAGGCCCACGATACCACTTTTCTAATCCTCCTCTCAGGCATCCAGAGATTTTAGGCATATCTGATTTTATTAATATTTTTCCTTTGAAATCCTGTGTCTCCCCAGTAGCCACAGATGAACCTTCCTATGTCATGATGCATTACACTAGATGATATCAAAACACAAACCAACATACAACAGCAAGGATTTTTGAAAAGCATAATCCATGGTTCCATGCTTAACATGACATTGCTTGTCTGTTTTTCAAAGCGATGTTTATTAATTAAAGAAACATTTACATATTAGGATGGGAAGGGTGGATGATTTTGTGGTTAAGACGCAGGATTAAGGTTAAAGAAATCAAGGCTACAAAATCTACAAGTGCAACTTTGAGCAGGTCACTAAGGGTGTGTCTACACAGCAAAGTTATTTCAGATTAACGGCTGTTATTCCGAAATAACAGTGCGAGCGTCTATACAGCAATTCTGTTATTTCGAAATAATTTCAAAACAACAGATGCCTTATTCCAACTTCTGTAAACCTCATTCTATGAAGAATAAAGGCCTATTCTGAAATAGCTATTTCGCTTCTGCTATTTCAAAACTGGCCCTCACTAGGGCCATTCTAAGTTATTCCTCCTGGGGCTGTAAACCGAGATAACACAGCTATACTGCAGGAAAGCCACAGAATTAGTCTGAAGCAGTCTTCCCTAATGTAGATAAGCTATTTTGGAATAACTATTCCAGAATAGCTTATTCCGAAATAACTGTGCAGTGTAGACATACGCTAAAACTCTCCGCTCTTTGGTAAAATGGGGATATTACTGCTTACTCAGTTTTATTGAGTGCTTTGAGATCCATGACTGAGAATTGTTGTAGAATTTTCATGTATTATTATATCATATCCTACTTGGTCCTGGACTTGATGACCTCTCGAGTTCCCTTCCAGTTCTAGTGTTCTATGATTCTAAGATACTGCCCTGGTTGCTCTGTAGAACTAGCTCCGCTATTAATTCCAGATAATGTGCATTATAAATTTAGCCTCTTTTGTTAGTGAATCATTCAAGCATCAAGCCTGATTTCTTTAAATGTGTGTTATTTATAAGCATTATTTTCATATTATTTTCAGCTGGCATGTGACCTATTTGTCCCAAAGATTTCACATTGTTATTCAGTATTTTTTGCATAGCCATACAAGTCACATGTTATCAATTCTGATCCCTAATAGGTAAACTGACACTTTGTAACCAGAGCATGACAAGCAATTTCTGGTAATTTTAAAGGATTTTGCAAACATTTTCAGCAATAGGCAGCAATCATCTGAATGCTTATGAACAAACACAAAATGTGACTTGTAGGGATTATAATGACCTCAACTCAGTGTTACAGTTGTCAAAATATTCCTGAATCTTTCTCTTCCATCTACTATTTTACATGGTGAATCTGGAGCAGCCCACTTAATTTCTCTGTGCATCAGCTTCTCTGCCTGCAAGACAGAGATAACCAGGCTGTCTTTACCCATGCACAGAATATGTAACTGCGTAGGGCACCTGAAAATTTGGGACACACCTGGGTCTTAATTCCTATCCCCGGTTTGTGGCTCTGCTTCCTCTCAAAATGATCGATTAACATAAGAGTGAAAAAGCCGGCCAGACCTATCAGCAGAACACTGAACCTGTGAAAGAGCTTTCAAGTGGTAATGAAGCCATTGAACAGGCACTAGGAGCCCCCAGGCATATACTCTCAGTTTCTGAATTTTGTCTATAGGGCCTGAGTTTAAAATTTACTTAAAAATATTTAATTTGTGTTGCTGAAGATTATAAAGTCACATGGCCAAAAAATTGTCACCCCCATCCTGGGCTGTCACCAGGGATGGGACACAACTTGAATAGTACTGCACAGGGCCCCATCAATCCCAAGGGTGATCCTGGAGATTACGTCATCTGTCAGATAGGGAGATGAAATTAAGTTTCATTCATTAAAGCTCTCTCAAGAGCTTTCAGGTCCTCAAATGACAGGGGCTACAGATTTACCTAGCTTTGTTAGACAAAAAAACAAACAAACAAAAAAAAAAAAACCACACACACACACACAAATAGATACTGAAAGATAGAAAGAGTTCAGTTCTTAAAATGTGCAGTAGACGGTACCTTTCAAGTTAACTCCCCTGGGTACCAAACCAGTCATCTCCATGACAGGGACCTCATCTTCTTCAGCATTGGAGACATTTTGGGGGAGGGCTCTACGGCCACTCAGGGTAGGAGGAATTGGGTTTTTTTTCTCTTTGTCAATGCCGGTTGGTTCAGACATTGTAACAGTGTTGCAATCCCCTACAAGGGAAAAAGGAGAGCAAAAGGACAGGATAGGGAGTTAGAGTTGCACATCTAAGAGGGAGAAACAAATACCAGGATGCAGTGTCAATGAGCTGTGCATTTTCAGACTCACATAAAGAAAGGCAGAAAGCATCAGGCTAACAATGGATTACAATCCCCAGGGGTTTAGCAGGTATTTTGTGATTTTCAAAACATTTGAAGAAGAGAAGAATAAACCCAAACACAAAAGGGTTTGCCTAGGAATAGCAAGACTTCAAGACATTTGGGAGACGCCACAGGTTAGGATTAAATACATACATATATTATCCTCTGAAAAAGCATCACTGCAGAGTAAGTGGTGAATTAACATCCCCGACAAGTGAATCTCATAAATTCTCAACCCTGATTTAATATACACACAAATTATAATGCAAACGTAAATCCAAAACACTACAAAATGTTTGAGCTGACTGCTACCAGTGTCACAATAGGGCTATTTTACATACACAAAAATCTGAAGAGTTTTCCCCACAGACACCAGACAATAAAAATCACCGCTCACACCTTCAGGTTTCAAGAAAAGGAGAACAGAAACTTTTTCTTCACTTACTTCTCTAGAGTAAATCAATAAAAGGAAAATTGTAAATATTGGCTGAGAAGAGAATTCCTTTCGAGGTAGCATAAAACTGATTTCATATCTATTTTGTATGTGTGTGGCAATGAGAGAGAGACTGTCGCCTGCTCAGAAAAACACAATTCAGTGCTGAGAACTCAGCTTCTTCTCAATACCCCTTTAAGCAGCATTTCAAAACATGGCAATATTTTAACAGCATTAATCTTTTAGAGTCAGTGTTTAGCCAGTGTACCTTCTTTTCAAACGTTCTCACTCCTGCTCCTCGGAGACTTGCTCAAATGCAACGAAATCTGGCAATAATTGGGGGCTCTTAAGTAACTGCAGTATATCCCCTCCCCTTGCAATAGGGCAGAGCTGGGAGACTTCCCTTCCTGTCAAGCCCTCCCCACACCAACTCCAGGCAGCAGCCACAGCTGCTGGAGGCTTGGGTGGCTCCCACTCTTCTGCCCCACCCCCACATGCACATCAGAAGGATTTCAATATACAAGTTTGCCATGCTGCTCCATATCAGGGGGTCTAACTCCTGAGCTGTGGCAAAGCAGAGCTCAGCCGCACTCTACATTCTTAGGGCTAACCCTGGCACCTCTCATTGCTGCTCAGAGTTCTTCCAGGTGGCCAGCCTGCAAGGGGCTATTACGCTATCTAGGAATTGACAGATTATAAAGGGACATGCCCTTTTCCCTTAATCATATCCCTGAATTGTTCCTGTGCCAGAGGCTGCAAAGACAATGGCACAGATCCTGTCCTATGCCATTTGCTCTACGCCACTTGCACTTTCCACACCAGGGCTGTGTCCAGACTCAGGAGTTTTTTCGGGAAAAGTAGCCTTTTCCCGAAAAAACTTCCCCTGCGTCCAGACTCAAGCCGCGTTCTTTCGAAATTATTTCGAAAGAACGCGGCTTTTCTTTTGATGGCGGTAAACCTCGTTTCACGAGGAAGAACGCCTTCTTTCGAAAGTTCCTCTTTCAAAAGAAGGCGTTCTTCAATGTAAATAGGGCTTCCTCGAAAGAGAGCATCCAGACTCGCTGGGTGCTCTCTTTCGAAAAAGCGGATTGCTCTTTCGAAAGATCCGCCTGCAGTCTAGACGTGATCTTTCAAAAGAGCCTCTTTCGAAAGAAGCCTGCAGTCTAGACATAGCCCAGGGAATTTCAGTCTGCTAGTTACACTTGGGCTGTGTCTAGACTGGCCAGTTTTTCCGGAAAATCAGCCGCTTTTCCATAAAAACTTGCCAGCTGTCTACATTGGCCGCTTGAATTTCCGCAAAAGCACTGACGATCTCATGTAAGATTGTCAGTGTTCTTGTGGAAATACTGTGCTGCTCCCATTTGGGCAAAAGTCCTTTTGCTCAAAACTTTTGCGCAAAAGGGCCAGTGTAGACAGCCCAGATTTGTTTTCCGCAAAAAAGCCCTGATCACAAAAATGGCAATCGGGGCTTTTTTGTGGAAAAGCACGTCTAGATTGGCACAGACGCTTTTCCGCAAAAAGTGCTTTTGCAGAAAAGTGTCCTGCCAATCTAGATGCTCTGTTCCAAAAATGCTTTTAATGGAAAACTTTTCCATTAAAAGCATTTCTGGAAAAATCATGCCAGTCTAGACGTAGCCTTGCTGTATTGCCCCTTTGCACTGCTAGGCTATGTCTATATTGGCAGGTTGTTGCACCAGAAGAGTGCAAATGAGGCTAAGCGTGGAATATCGCTGAGCCTCATTTGCATACCTAATGAGCCACCATCTTTGAAGAAGTGGTTCTTACGCTAGAAGGAGCTGTCTACACTGCCCCTTATTGCACAATGCCGTTCTTCCTGAAAATAATCAGCGTAGTGGCATTGCACAAGAGGGTTTTTCTTGCGCAAGAAGGGGCAGTGTAGACAGCTCCTTCTAGCGCAATAGCCACTTCTGCAAAGATGGTGGCTCATTAGGTATGAAAATGAGGCTTGGCAATATTCCATGCTTAGCCTCATTTGCATACTTCTGGCGCAACAACCCGCCAGCATAGACATAGCCCTAGAGTGGTGCATAGGGGCCACATGGGTTGGCCCAAAACTGGGTTATTCCCTCCTGCTCAGTCTTAAAGTCGAGCCAGATGTTTAGTTGATGTAAATCTATGCAGATGCATTGGAATCAATTTATACCATGTGATGATATGGCTTAGAGCCTGTGTATCGTGCTTGGAAAAATTTCCCCTATACATTTATGTTTTGGGGGTACAAATATCTACAGGCACAATTTTGCAAGTGCAAAATTAGAGAGTCATTTCTCATTCTGTGCGGCTGTGTCTAGACTGGCATGATTTTGCGGAAATACTTTTAACAGAAAAGTTTTTCCGTTAAAAGTATTTCCACAAACAAGCGTCTAGATTGGCATGGATGCTTTTGCACAAAAGCATCCGTGCCCAGTATAGATGCGCTTTTGCGCAAGAAAGCTCCAATAGCCATTTTAGCCATCGGGCTTTCTTGCACAAAAAATTAAGGTGCCTGTCTACACTGGCCCTCTTGCGCAAGTATTCTTGCGCAAGAGGGCTTATCCCTGAGTGGGAGCATCAAAGTATTTGTGCAAGAAGTGCTGAATTCTTACAATAGAACGTCAGTGCTCTTGCACAAATTCAAGCGGCCAGTGTAGACAGCTGTCGAGTTTTTGCACAAAAGCAGCCTCTTTCGTGCAAAATCTTGCCAATCTAGACGCACCCTGCCTATATATCTACAGTTAAAGAGCCACAGTTTGGGAGATTAAATCACCCTTCTGTCTGAACTTGCATTAATGGTTCTTTTACAGATAAGTCCTAATCCTATAGTAATGGTTTGATCCATTTTGCAGTGTACTTGTTCACTTGATGCATTACATAACACTTAGCAAAACCCTGTTCGCCTATGTGTGGGGTGTTCACACAATTAGGATGGCAAGAGTAAATACTTAAAGACTAATGATAGCTTTAGCACCTGCAATAACTTTTACTTCTTCCAATTGACCAATTTCAGGTTGATTTGGTCTCTTTAATGGTCAACAGGAGTCAGCTAGAAGAATAAGACACATGCTACCCATCACTACATAGTGTGCAGTAGTCAAGTGGGTTCAGATACCTCCAGGACCACATTGCCTCCAGACACAATGATGTTTTTCCTCTGCCACACACCATAAGACTATGGGAAATAAAGAAGCAGAGAGAATGAACTGAAGAACACCTATTTTGTAAGGTCATCCCTCCAGCTCTTCACCCATTGCAGACTGAAACACCTCTGGGAGTTAGTCCTGATTGAATCAGCAGATGTGCTCCAGCCCTACAAGGGGAATATTGGTGTAGCTGCAGGCTATGGAACACATGACACCTGGACAGCTGCTTACATCTACAGCTGGTCCTAGGTCAGGTAAGGCCAAATGGAACTCTATAAGGGGGAACTTTGAAAATCTAGAACTTTTTCCATATAGGGATGAAATAGGGTGCCATGGGTTAAGGAGAATAAAGAAGCAAAGCAAGTATTGTTTTAGGAGTGAGAGACACTCGTGTGATCAACCATATAGTGCACAACACAGCATGCAGCAAATAAAGATCACAGGGCCTTGATTTCCCCTGCTCTAAAAGACAACCTCATATATCATATAACGGCTAAAGAGCAACTTGAATTACTTGTTAGGACATGCTAAGGTCTGATCCTCACCAACAAAATGATCCTCTGAGGCCATGTCAAGTTAGCAGCATTCAGAACAGCCCTAAGTCTAACCCCAGCAGCAATGGAAGAAGAAGAAGAAAGTCAGCTTAGACACAGCTATATCCTTAGTCCCACCTCTCACTCAGCTGCCCTGAGAGCTACTTTGGCACAGCTAAAGATTAAGCCCAGGTGGCCTAATTCTGATAGCAATTGCCAGATTTGTCAGTGATACCTTCATTAACTCAAGGGGTTACATGGCAGTAAACAGCTATGAAAGGAGAATCAGGTCAAGGATCCAGCTGGTGACTGTTTACTGGCAGCAGACTCAATAATGTGCATGTGCAGACATGAATACTTTTGCACAAAGTAGCTGATGGAGCTCACCCCTTACTTATAGCCCAATGTATGTGATGAGAGCACTCATTGCATTGCAGTATGGCTTCATTTGTAATTTCACTCAGCTGCATTTGCATCCCTTTCTCAAAAGAGTATGCAAGTGTAGACATAAAATAGACACAGCTATTGTAATCAGTCCAGTAATGCACACTTAGGATCAAATCTTTTGCTGGTGTATCTCCATTAAAGTCATGCCATGAAATACAACAGTAGAGAATTTGGCTTTATTCCTACCCTTGATCTTAATATAGCTAAATATCTAATGGTAAAGAACTGATGTCATCAGAGTATTCAGCTGAAAATCATAGAATCATAGAACTGGAAGAGACCTCGAGAGATCAATTCCAGTCCCCTGCCCCCATGGCAGGACCAAGTACTGTCGCTAGACCATCCCTGATAGGTGTCTGTCTAACCTGCTCTTAAATATCTCCAGAGATGGAGATTCCACAACCTCCCTGGGCAACTTATTCCAGTGTTTCACCACCCTGACAGTTAGGCTGTGTCCAGACTCAGGGGTTTTTTCGAAAAAAGAAGCCTTTTTTCGAAAAAACCTCACCTGCGTCTAGACTGCAACCGCGTTCTTTCGAAATTAAATCGAAAGAACGTGGCTTTTCTTTCGATGGCGGTAAACCTCATTTCACGAGGAAGAACGCCTTCTTTCGAAAGTTCCTCTTTCGAAAGAAGGCGTTCTTCAATGTAAATAGGGCTTCTTCGAAAGAGAGCATCCAGACTCACTGGATGCTTTCTTTCGAAAAAGCAAGCCGCTTTTTCGAAAGTTCAACGTGCAGTCTAGACGCTCTCTTTCGAAAGAGCCTCTTTCGAAAGAGGCTTGCAGTCTAGACATAGCCTTCGGAAGTTTTTCCTAATGTCCAACCTAAACATCCCTTGCTGCAGTTTAAGTGCAATGGGAATTCCCCACTCCCTGGATGGAAATAGACATTTCTAGCTACAGGTTGCACCTCCCAAATCTTGGACTCTCTGGTCTGGCAGCATTCGTGGTCCAGCAGAGCCACTGATGTTGCGAAGAGCTGTGGAGGTGGGAGCAACACAGGGGCTTGGGAGTCCCAGTTGAGCCAGGTGGCACCTGGGGAGCTGCATCCTGGCCAGGGAACCCCTGGCATTAGCAGGGCCAGGTGACCGGGGAGCTCCCATCTCAGATGGGGAACCCCTGGTTGCAGTGGAGCTGTTGGAGGCTGAGCAGCCTCAGCCAGGTATCCCAGCAAACCCTCTGGTGGCAGCGGGGTGAGGGTGACAAGGCAACCTCTGCTGGGGAACCCTCAGCAGAAGCAGGGCTAGTGGAGGCAGGCAGCTGGACTCCCCAGCAGCAGTAGGGCTGAAGTGGGTCGGGGCGGATGGGTGCCCTGAAGTGGGAGCCCCCCTGGAGGCAGCAGGGCTGGTGGCAGCTGCATGGCCCCAGCCGGGAACCCCAGGACACCCTGAGGCAATAGGCAGGCCAGTGTGAGGGACAGGAGTGGCCCATCCATATAGGCAAATGAGGCAGTTGCCTAGGGCGCCAAGTTAAATGGGGCGCCAAATGATGGTGCAATATCGTTGAGGGATTTGGAGGTGGGGGCGCCGATTGCATGGTTCGCCTAGGGTGCTAGTTGCTGGCAGCTAGTCTAGGGCCACTTCTGATGAGGGGGGCCAGTGGCAGGGCAGAGAGCCCCAAGAAGAGGAGCCTGGGAGCGGGGCAGCCAGAGAGGGAGCACTGACCTTTCCTGGTCTGGCAAATCCCCTGGTCCAGTACAGCTCAGGTGGCCTGGGTCCTGGACAAGGGAGGTCCAACCTTTTCCTGCTTTGCACCATTTGTCAGAGCGGTCCTGTCTATAGGATGGTTTGGCATCCACCTCAGGCCCCATGCTTTGGGGGGCCCCACGGTAGTTGCCTCAGCTATCCTGTGGATGGGTCCTAAGGTGGTCTAGGGGATTATTGGGGACCTGGCCTGCAGCAGTGGGGTTGCCGTGGGCCCTGCACCTGGAGTTTTGGGGGGTGTTTGTGTCATTATGTACCCTGCGTGCAGTGTGGGTATAAAATGCTGTGTAGTTAGAATTCTGACTTACATGATTGGGGGTAGCTTTCTGCCCACTTTGCACAGAGGCGCATGACCACACAAGAGCAAACAGGTTACCATCAGGGCCTTTTCATTTTATTCTGAATTGCGCGAGAATACCTATTCTCTTGCGCCATGAATAATGGGCATCATCCTAATAGTACTGGGAACCAGAATGTGCTGCCAAAGCCTTCGCATAACAGAGGGCTGTCTGGGGATGGTTGCGTTTGTTTCTAATCTATGACTTCTGTGTCCCATAGCTCATCTTCCAGCCTTTCCATTCCCTGAGTTGTGGCTGCTTCAGTGACATAACAAAAACTGATATAAATATTGCTTCTAGGCCATGACTGCCAGGGGCCTGCAACACACATAAAAAATTCAGTCTCCAGAGGAAGTCATGTGCTTCCCCCAGTGGCTGTGGGGCTGTCAGAGCTGAGAGGAAAGCTTTCAGTCACAGAGACAGAGGGCGAGCGAATGGATGGAGAGGCACAATCATATTCAATCCATAGTGCTTAAACACCCAGTGGTTGCAGTACCCCTCGGTGCCCATTCATATCTTTCAGGAAGCCTTTGGGGAGCCTTCACGAGCCTGGTAATGACACTGAAAGCAGACAGACAACATTTGCAACAGCAGTGGGGCTTTGCATGCAGAGAGAGTCTTGTTCTCTAGATTGCAATGTATTTATTTTGGGAGGAGTGATACAAATTCATGCTTATGACAGCTCCAGATGGCCAGTGTTTTCTCATTTCTGTGACTTCCCAGGAAATGCTCTCCCTTGACTATCAGCACGTATTGACCTTAATTTACCTTCCTGCGAGCAGCGGCTGGATGGCTCAAATCTATTGACGTCAAGGGCGATGCAAGAGGGTAAATGGAGAACACAGAGCCCTGGCTTTCCTGTAGAGCCATTAAATGTAAGTAATGGTGCACTGTACAGTCTGGGGAGAGAGCCCTCTTCTTTATGAAGTTGCTACTTCACTGTAAACTGTTGGAAACCAGTGAGTCAATGGCAGTTTCTCAGCGGAAGTTCACAGGCCTGATCCAAAGCCAGGTGAAGTCAATGTGACGTTTTTCCATACAGATAGATGACTTTAAAAATGAAGAAAAAATTAAGCATGTGAATAATCCCCAGCCACTGAGAGTATGTCTACAATGCAATATAAGCCTAGGGTACTAGAACTCAAGTTAGCAGACCGTGAGTTTTTTAACCTAGGGTTTGGATGTCTACACTCATTTGTAACCCTAGCGTAGGCATGGTTGTAGGTTGGGTCCTAACAGGAAGCTCCAGCATTTACACTACATCACGCAGGCCCAAATCCAACGGCCCATATCTACGCTTCCTTTCACCCTCCTAAAATGTGGCTGCTTTAGCCCTTTGTTCACAGTGTAGTGTGGGAAAATGTGACTGTCTCCCAAACTTGACTTTCCAGGGGACACAGACAGCTGGCCTGTGGAATTGTGGAATACTCCGGTGGACTCTCAGAACACAAATCGAGTAGGGCTGCATCTACACTGCAAAGCTACAGAGCTTGTACCCTGGTCCTGACTTAACTCAGGCTCAGACCATCCACCCCCATGCGTTCAGGTCTGAGCCCTGGGTTAACATAATTTGTGTGTTGATGGAAGAGGAATTGGGCTTGAGCCTGAGTTCAAACCCTGGACTTACACCACAACAGTGGTCACCAACCAGTTGATCTCGATTGGCAGGCTCCCTGCCTGCCCTGGCCCCTCTGTGCCAACCTATTCCCAGAAGTAGCCAGCATGGCTCTGTGGCCCAGTTTGTGTGGAGATAGGGAGAGAAGGTAGGAGTCTTGGCATGCTGCTCTTGCCTGCAAGCACTGCCCTCCAGTTTCCATTGGCTGGGAATGGGAAACAGTGGCCAATGGGAGCTCACGGGGCAGTGCCAGAAGCTCCTCCCAGCTGAGTGGCTGTACTAGCCCTTCCCCGTTGCCAGCTACATCTCCTGTCTGGGGTCATACAGCCCTGCTGGAAGCAGGGACAAGGGTGGTACAACTGCATGGCCAGGAGGAGCTGCCAGCATGGGACGCTGATAGTGTCCCATGCTCCTTTAGCCACCTAGCAGGAGGCTGCACCCCAAATCCCCTCATGCATCCCATCCCTGCCGTGAGCCTCCTCCTAGAGCCAGCACCTCACACTTCCTCCTGCACCCCAACTCTGTCCCAAACCTCTCTCCCA